CATATCAAATTTAACTTAAAATTCTTGCCATTTCCGCATCGTCTCTACAGATACTGTCCACCAAGCTGCCTCACTGCAAAGAGAATGTGTGTTTAGCATATGGACAGGACTGGTCCGTGTACGCTGTGGGTTCTCAGGCCCATGTTTCCTTTCTGGATCCACGCCAGCCTACCCACAACATCAAGTCTGTTAGTTCTCGAGAGAGAGGAAGCGGTAAGTTTCCAAAGAAGATGTAAAATCCAGAGATTTTACATCGTTGGATTTGACTCTTGTGAAATACTTAGTGCTCACTAATAAACTTAAAAAAAAAAAAAAAAGATTTTGTGTGACTAAATGATGAAGTCACATCATCCTGGAGGAACTCAAGCTCGTTTTTTGACGAGATTAACTCTTACAATTACATTTATTTTAATATTAGCTACATATTGTTTAAAAATATTTTAGCTTGACTAAGTTCATGGTTTGGCGTTTGATACTTTAAACTTTATATCCTTTATAGTAGTCATCAATTAGTCGATCTAAAGTTGATTTACATTATCTGTTAAGCGACCATTTTCTTAAAAAAAAAATCTTACGTTTTTTTCTTGGCCAACTGTCTTTTATAACATGAAGGACTAGATTTTTCATTATATGCTTAATAGAGAAAAAACTGCATTTATAAATTATTTTGTCAGCTGTATTAAATACTATCTGAATTGACCGACAAAGCTTTTTCCCGTCACATTATTAAACATATTTATAAAATATAACCAAACATGAACTTATCATATTGCTGAAAAGACGAAAAGAATAAATGACTTAATATTCATACGGAGGTACCGTTGGTGGTTGCTCTCGAAGGAAAGTGAGACCTTCCCTCGATGGCGACGGCCCTCAAAATAAACCTGTTTAATTGAAGCAAAGGTTGTTTTTTTTTTCCATCATCGTACAATGCGGTGACATCCAGCACAACCGAATGAGCACTATGAAAAAGATGGCTGCTAGAGCTTGTTAAGTGTTTGTATTTCAAAACAGAACCGCGTGAAGTGCATTTAACGTCCCGAACCGGATTCTGTTTGGACTCTTTCTTGTTATGTTGTGGCTCCGCCGTCTTTATTTCTGTATCTGGCTCCGCTTAAGGATGACCAGCGGCGCCTTCTGCTGCATGGCGGCCAAACTACAATACCGAAAGAAGGTGTAAGCGGACATTATTAGTTAAAGAATTTAAACTAATTTTAATGTAATAAACTATTAATTGACAATTGTAAGTCGATTAATGCTTTGCATCCCTACTCTGTATCTTTTGTCTTCCTGTCATTAATGCTTAGCTATGTCTTTGTGCAGGGATCCGATCCGTGAGTTTCTATGAGCACATTGTGACTGTGGGTACCGGTCAAGGTTCTCTTCTCTTCTACGACATCCGGGCTCATAGGTTCCTGGAGAACCCGTTCAATCCATCCAGTGGGTATCGGAAAAGTGCCCCAGATGGCATCCTTAAGCTAACCACAGGGAAAGGCTGGCTGGTAAGCGTTTTTCTTTGTTTTTCTTTTAGAACTTCTTTACCGAAAGATGACAGAAATAGGATGTTTAATCTCCAAACCTTGCCTTCCTGTTCTGGGCTGCTTTCAGAATCATGATGAAACATGGAGGAGTTACTTCTCAGACATTCACTCCTTCCCCAACGCTGTGTACACCCACTGCTATGACGACTCTGGTACCAAGCTGTTTGTAGCCGGCGGACCGCTCTGCTCTGGCCTGCACGGAAACTACGCAGGACTGTGGAGTTAGCCTCTTCCTCTCCTCGTCAATCAGCTCCTTCCCTACGTCTCCATCGTTCTACAGAAGTCCCTCCATCTTACTCGCTTAAGTTCATCCACATCACCTTCATTGGGATCTGTTTTGATCAGCCGATCATCTGTTTTGCTCACACTTGGACTCAGGAGCATGGTGTTTCATAATTTAATGTTGTTGCTGTGTATATTTGTATCCACTTTTATGTTCTCATCTTCCCCAAATAACCCCTTTCACCTTTTATTTGTTTTGACCCTGCCCACCCCTCCTTTTTTTATTTTATTTATATATATATATATATGTAGTTATATATATATAAATATAGATATGTATATAAAATGTACAATTAACTAATAATTTAAAAAGCTACTAAGTCTGCCACTGAGAAACTCAGAGTTTTGAAAAACATTAAGAATAAAAATATTCATTTTAGCATCATTAATACATTCACATCCAACCTGCAGGGATTACGCTGTGGTCTTTTGCTCGCTTATTTTTGTACTCAAGGATAGTGTTAACTGCTGCTTTCTCTGTGATAAATAAGTGCATTTGTAAAAAAAAACGACAACAAAAAAATAACAAAACAAAAAGAACAGCATTCACTCGAAATAGTTTTTCCTTCTTTCGCATAAATGGACAGCAATAATGACTGAAGGATTACTGATGCCATTCCTGTAGATGGACCGAGCACGAGTGCAGGTTGACATCTGAGAACGATCAACACTCGCAAAGTACTTCTTCCCTCTGCTCTCAGAAGTAAAACAAAGAACCGGATCAAGTGAGAGATTTATTATTTTTTTTCTTCCTCTTCCTCTTATCTTCACCGAGATGATGTAAAGGAGAAAAATTGTGTTAGAATTGATAAGCGCAGTGTTATTGCTCTGCTAGGACGTAATATAGAAATTTTTTTTTTTGTTTTGTTTTTCTCCACTTTGATCCAACGGGCGATCGATCCCATGCTGATGATCTGATTTACTTCATTTGTATTTATTTTACCACCTTTTTACCTTGTCGTCTTCGTTTTGTTCATCTTGCTTCTTCTAAAGGATGATGGTTTTGATTGCATGATCACATATGGTCCATCGGGAACAGTTTCTCAGAAGCGATGCAAAGAAAGCTCATTATGTTTGGAAATTCTCCTGGCGCATACATATTTATAAATGTATATTTTCTCTCATAGCCACTCGCCCTCTCTTTTAACAAGCCGTGAGTGGCTGTGCTTCCCCTTGTTATAGGTAGAATCAGGGTTGGCTTCAGCTACGTCTTTGCCTTCCTGAAATCTTTCTGTGAAAGACAGCCACAGAGTTAATCATCAGTTTCCTTTTCTACATGAAATAAAACAATTCTGACCAAGTACTGACTAAACATCCAACACTTTAAGGTGTATTTTATATAAATATATAAATGTGTATATGTGTGTTCGTAAAAGAAAAAGAAAAAAATGCATTAAGGACAGTTGCGGACATTTTCTGTTGTACGCCTGAGAAATTGTGTGGATTGATCCGTCTCCTTGGTGACACTTTTTTTATATACAAGCCTCGTGAATGTTTTTACAAATGACTGAAACAGGATATTGTAAGATATAAACACTTGGGGATATAAATCTAATTCTTTAAAAAGGAGTAAATAATACAATAAAATGTATATTAATGTATCTGTTTTGTTGTTTGGCTTTTTTTTTTTTTTTTGGTTTTGAGGCGTCAACTTGATAGAAATTATGTAAGCAGTTCTTTCAACAGAAATGTGATAGTCCAGAGGTTGTCAATGTTGTGGTCAGGACCCCCAATTTAACTCCCACCTCTTATTTTTTGGAAGACCCTGTTTATGCCTTTAATCTCACAAAAAAAATGTAAAAGTACAGCTAAAAGTTATCAAAATTAATGTTTTCTTTCACGTTTGACTTACAAAATAATGCCTGTATACTTAACTTGGAGCTACTCAAGGCTCTTTCACTACGTTGGGGCTCAGAAGATGAAATGTTTTAGGAACCTCTGGTCTCATTAGTTACTCTTGATTTTGTAACTTTTCAGAGAAAAGCGATCCACTTTTCTTTGTATCCCAATACAAATTGGGATCCAGTTTGTATTGGTTCCCAATTTTTATGACCTTAGAATAACTTTGTAGCTGCTTTGGCCTTTGTAACACGACGCCCCATCGTCCATTATGCACATTTGTTGGATAAAGTTGTTTCGGGTACACATTTTGACCATAGGAAGCAATCTCGTCCGTGTTCAAAATGGAACCAGGATTCATCGTATAAAATAACTTGGCATCAGCCTTAAGCCCATCCTTTCTGCAGAACTGCAGCTAATGTCTTTCTTGGACAGAGTACGTCTTCTTTGTTGCGCTTCGTGTCATGTGTCTGATAATCAAAAGTCTGCCGGTGACCCATGTCACGCCCCACTGAGCGTGCTCTTCAAGTTGGGAAACTAGTGAGATTTGCAAACTGCTAGAAGAAATACAGGTGGATGATAAAGCTTTCTGTTGTAAGGGTTAATAAAGAGTAGGGAAATGTTCTCTTTGTCGTCTCTGCTATTGACTTAAAATGATCACAAGTGTTAAATTATGACTTATTTGGGAGTTGTTTCTCCAAATAATTTTTGTCAACTGGAATCTGAAAATGGGATTTCTGAGTTCAAGTAATTCCCGGCCGCTTTCTCTGCATGCAGTGCAGAGGCTCCCAGGCCTCTTCTGCCGCCATCGTTGCGCAAGCTCTGCGCTGGTGGCAACACTGTGCATCTCGACATCCTTTACAGGAAACCGTTTAGGCGTTCCCCGGTTTTCCTGAATAGCCTGTGGACTTCCTCTCTACATGTCAACCTTTCACCTTGAAGTTCTTGATAACCCGGAAGTCAGGTTCTTTAGTTGCAGCAAGTTGAAGCCATTTTGCTGTAAGGTAGTGATAACCCAACAGTTATCACTATTGTGATGTCACTATTATAAATGTTTGAGAGCAAACATTTATATATATATATATATATGTATAATCATAAACAGTGTTTTATGTTGATTATATGGTAATAGTTTGCATATTTTCCAATCGAAGGGCCTATTAAGTTCATTTGAACTTAAGTCAACACAAATAACCCTCTGACCATTCAGCGCAGCGCCGCAACAAATGCGTGAATCGGGAGCGAAGCAACAAAATGCGCTAAATGAATCTGTGCAAGTGCGATAAACCCGTCTGGTCCGTGGACGCTGGTTGGTGGTAACAGCGAGCGCCGTGGGGAGAGCTGGATCAGAGGGGAGCATCCACCTCGGCAGCGCGCGTCACGTGACCACCTTGTCTGCTGCTGGCCGAGTGAAGCGTGTTAGCAGGTAATAAAAACACACATTTTTCTTCGTCCTATTCAACTTCGCCGTTAACGTTTCGCGCTCGGTTCGCGTCGAACTTAATTCGTGGCTCGTCGGAGCGGCGAGTGGCCGGCTCCTTTGTGCGCGGTCGCCGGGCTTTGAGAGGATGTCTCCTCGCTATTTTTCCTGTTGTCTTGAATCCCGGCGAGCAATGTCGGGATTGGATTGTGCTCTGCGAGGCCTTTTTTCCCCTTTCTTTCTTTTCTTTCCTCTACTCTCTCCTCCTGTAGATTCGATACACCTTTGTCGCTGCCAGGCTTTCGGCTTCGTCTTGGTTGTGTGACGGGAACATTTTTTTTTTAACCGTCTCCGTGCGTGTCGTTGTGCGGCCCCAGAAACACGCGCAGGACTCCCCCACGGCAGCTTGACGGCTCAACTTGTACGAGGTTTCGATAGCATCGTTAGCCGCGGCGTTTGCTCGATGCTAGTGTCAACGGTAGCGCGAAGCGGCTAACGGCGAGCTAGCGAGGACAAAGGGGACGGCGGTGTCAACAGCACAGCAGTCTTTGTCGAGCTGATGGTTGCGTCTCGAAGTCTTTTGCGTTCGCAGAGGACGCTGAACGCGTCCACGTTTTAGATGTTAGAAACGAGCAGCACGGCGGCAGCCAGCGAAAATCGGCGTTGACTCAAAACAAATACAATGCTACAGAGTTAATTGTCTCCCTGGCTGGAAAAAAAAAAAAAAACAGGCCACAAAAAACAGTAAACATCTTTGTGCAATTTCAGACATTTGTCGTTGTTTTTTATTTTTTAATTTTTGCATATCCTAATGAATATTTAAACTCTTGCTTTAAAGAGGCATTAAGTAATTTATCCTCATTGCGATATCGGTGGCGTTGCATACTAAATTGTCCGTGACAAATTTTTTTGAATTGTTCTAAAGAGACTCAAATCTGCTGAAATTGTGGGGGAAAAAAGCCTGCTCTTGTTTTAGCTTTGTTCAATGGTGCAGCCAATGAGAAGCTGTGTGTTTGCCACCGTCACGCACAGCACGTATAGCCGGACTGCCATTGTTCTCTGACACAAAACAAATGGGTCAGAAGGGAAATCTAAGCTTGTACACTATGTTTTGTTTTCAGTTTACACATCTAGTTACGTGTTGTTGTTTTTTTAAAGTTGCACAGATCTGAGATCTAGTGGCTGAATTCCAATTCACTGATTTTTTTTTGTAGAGCTTGTAGATTACAAATGTTATTTTTCTGCTTTTTGGATATGCTAGTTTTAAAAGTATTTGTTGCAAAACACTAGTTTCTCAACTCATTCCAAATTTAAAGCCTCATATATATGCATAGTGAATTCTCCCAGGTTCTGCTATAGGGGGTATCTGCATAAATAAAACAAGGGGGGAAAAAATTAGAGCTTGTATATATGTTTATTTTTACTTTTTTACCTGATTTATTTTCCGGTGAAAAACTAAGAGCTACTCAGATTAATCAGCTACGTTCAACTTAAGGTCTGAGGAGGAAAGAAACAGATGTGCTGTTGTTAGATTTAATGATTCATTAATTTATTGCAGGTGTAAAAGAGCTTTAGAAAGCCTTCTCTGACCAGAGTAATAATTAATTTATTGTGTTAAAAGCAGAGGAAGTACTGCTCAGCACTTGGAACAGAATCTCAGTGTCATTTTAAAACAAAAACAACATCGTACGATTTGACATAGCAGCCTATTCTAGTTCTTAGAATTGCCCAACAACAATCTGACTGCATTCTCCATCGAGAAGTAGAATCTCATCGTGGGATTCCCTCGACTGCCAAGATTTTGTAATCAACGTGAAATGAAAGATATAGTTCAGCTCTTATAAAAAGGTAAAGCAAAGTAACTTTAGAGTCATATGTTACACTTGTTTTTATTTTTTTTCCCCGTGTGAAAGCCTTTGAGTCATCTTTTCTCAGTGACGACTTCCACACAGAAGAGTGTTGTCATCGCAACCTGCATCCTTACTGATCAGAAAACAAGTCATATTTTCAGTTATTGACCAGTCAGTCCACAATGAGAGCAGAAATGAATCTTAATGTCTGCCAATTCTGAGTGCATATCAAGACTATTATGGAACTAATAACAGCGGTGTGATAAAGGATCACACTGACTTTGCAGATTTCTGCAATACTGATTAGGATCCTCGTGTCGATTAGATCATTTCAGTGCATCAGTTTTGTGTTTAGGGTCTAAATAAAAACTCTTTTTTTCCACAATGAGACAGGATATGGAGTCTGGGGTGTGTTGTTTGTCCACGTTGTGTAGTCTGGTGTTTGTAAAAGGACACTGGGTCGCTCTTCCTCCTTGACCCAGATTTTCAGCAAAGCTGTTGCGTCACCAGGCCAACTGTGCGTCTTACAGCCTTCACAAGGCCACTATTCATTACTCGAGAGTGAGGCTTTACTGTGCTCAAAGCATCTTCTGGCGTTGGATGCTCAGGAAGTTCTGTGGCATCAAACAAGGGGAACGCTGCAGCTGGGTCGTAAACTGCCTTGCGGGAGTTATTAGTTAGCATTACTGCTGGTAGCTTTTGCTCATTCTCTTATGTGGGTTTTACTTTTTGATTTCTGCAGGTTTTTCTATTTTGTACATACAGAGTTTTGTATATACTGTATATGATGAGCTTGCTGGGCGGCGACAAGGCCCGGGGTCCTCGGGAAAAAGCGCTGCCAGCGGCCCCTCACACACCACAGCCACAGAAGCAAATACAGGTGAGCGTCCCCGAACGCCAAAGTGTGGAAGCGCTCTCCTCTGAGCACTAGATAAGAAGCACTAAAGTTTGAATTTGGTTTGATTGCATCTGCAAAGTAGACATTATCCTAATGGGTCAATAGGAAGTGGTTATTTCCCATTTATTTCTTCGTCATTAATTTTTAAAAACACGCCAACCAATTTAACAGCTACCACAAAAGAACTGCATCCCTTTTCAATGTCTAATGTGTCTGCGATACAGGCTACTGCTGAGCAGATCCGGCTTGCTCAGATGATCTACGACAAGAATGATGCTGACTTTGAGGACAAAGTTAACCAGGTGTGAAACACTTGGACGTTTCGGTGGCTTAAGGTGCCCTCCACACTTATTGGCACCCCTGGTAAAGATGTGTAGGACTTGTCAGAACAAAAGCAAACATTTCTTGAACGTTAGCATCAGATGCTCACTAAATGTTTAAGGGGGAAAAAAAAATCTATCCAAGTGCAAATTTTCTTTTGGGGAAACTTTTTAACTCGCCACATAGATGTTGAATAGATTTCCGCATATATTGGAGATTACCGATAATAAATATTGATTTTGTGTGTAGGTGAGCCATTTATTTCCGACTGGACCACACATTGTGACCAGTTTCCTATTGGAATACCCGGGAATAATTGATCATTTTTAGTTTTCCTGGAAGATTCTAAGAGGTTTGTTGTAAAAATTTCCTGGTATTTCAAAGAGTTTGTGTGACATGCATTCAACGAGATTCCTAGAGACTTTCGAAGAGAAACAGGCTCCCATAATCAAAAATTGACCACTATACATAAAAATGGGACACAGTTGCAGTGGAGTCTAGCATGCTCTAGATATTTGTTTGTAATGGTAGGGCAAAAAAGGCTTTCTCTTCCATAGCAAAGCTTTTCTGAACAACTGCTTAGCGTGTAGGTAGCGTCTAATAGTATATTTTCTCCCGTCAGTACAATAAATGCGTCGCAATCAACAGTTGAATTTTCTTCTACACATCTTTATCTGGGGTGCCAGTTGGTGTGGAAGATGCTGCAACTCTGTCAACATTTTTGTTGACAGAGTCTTAAGTTGGTGCCCAGTGGGAGTGCTGTGTTTTTTCATCTCTGTCACAAGCAGACATGCGTAAAGTGTGTGTTGTTCTTTTTCCAGCTGATGGAGGTGACTGGGAAGAATCAAGACGAGTGCATGGTAGCTCTTCATGACTGCAATGAGGACGTTAGCAGAGCCATCAACTTCCTCCTGGAGAGCACTTCGGACATGGTAAGTGGAAGCTCCTTTCATCTGGTAATGGGGATTTGCTTATTCAAGGGTTTCGTTTCAATTCAATAAATGCTCAGAATACCTGGGAACCGAGTGGCTGGTTGTAGAAAAATGCGTTAAATCCTTGATAACTAACATCAGTTTCTGGATTAGTACCGTATCTTTAAACTTGTGCTGTTATTCATTTGCACAGAAGATGTTACTGTGAGCTTTAGCATTTCATCAGATGAAATCTGTGTCAGGTTTGGGCATTAACGATAGTTGGAGACTATTCAACAGGCCAAACATAGTGTATGTATAGCGATAGAGGGTGTGCAAAGTGCGGTTCGGGGGCCAATTGTGGTCCCCAGACAATTTTTGTGCATCACTTAGACCACAGTTCAAGATTAAATTAAATTAAATTGGGACAAAACTACAACTTTTAAGTAAAATTTTAGTAAACAAATGTGAAGTGTCAAGCTTTCTGGTTTCATTCTACTGTCATGGTTTCTACCATATAGTACATTTATGCACCTAAATTTACTTTTAATTGCTGGAGAAAAAAATGTTAACAAATTAATTCTTTTTTCTTTTTTTTTCTCAATCAGGCCCAAATTACTAAAAAGCAAACTGGTTGTCTTTCATTTAACAAGAGAAACGGGCAAAAATAGCATTTGAGGATTTGAATCTACAATTCTGTTCCTACAAAAAAATATAATTTTTTTTCATCAAAATGTTCAGTTTGTTATTGAGCAGGTAAAAAGATATTATTTTTGGTGATTTTAGTTTTTAACTTTTGCCCTGCGAGTCCTTTTGAGCTGAACATTTTGGCCCACGTGACAAAGAGTTCGCACACCCCTGACACAGAGCATTAATTTATTTCACTTGAAACATATTCACCTACCAAATACTGCAGTTTTCTAAGCGGTCCTCTATGTATTGTGATGCATATTGACTTTTAAAAATGTTTTAATTTATTTTGTTTTTGTGTCTTCTCCTCTTTTGCATTCAGACCTCATGGGAGACGGTGGGGAAGAAGAAGCCTCTGGTGAAGGAGAGCCCATCAGAGAGCAAAGAGAACAAGGAGAACCGGGAGAAGAAAGGGGAGCGGGAGGCCAGCAAGGGCCGCGCCTCAGCCAACCGCAAAGGGAAGGGGGCCAGTCGGAACCGGCAGGGTGAGGACCCAGGGCTTAACAATGAGGTTAAATCTAGTTCAGAGCAGGATTCCTGTTGAATCCTGTAGTTGTTGCTGATAGATTTTTATTTATTTTGTTAACAGCACGTCCAGAGGAGAACGGTGTGGAGGCGACTCCACTGGACAAAGGTTCGGATCGAGGTCGAAGAGCCAGGGGAAGCAGAGGTAGGAGGATGAAATTGTAGCACTGTAAGAATGATGCGTAATAAGTGAATGGGTCTGACTTTTGTTTGGATGTTCTGCAGGGTCAGGAGGTCGGGGTCGAGGCAGAGCGCCGCCTGGAAGCAGGTTCTCAGCACAGGGAATGGGGTACAGTGGCAACACACAACTACGTTTATTGCTTCAGACCATTGCCTACTGTTCTGTTTTTAACATGTGAAGTTAACTTGCGAGATTTGAGAAAGAACCGACCAAGGCGAGTTTTAACCTTTGTCGGACTTTGCTCATCTTTTTGATCAGGACTTTCAACCCAGCGGACTACACCTCAGAGTCTGGGACCGGGACCACACAGACCGAGGTTTGGGACACAGCCAACAGCAACAACAACAGCAGCAGCACAGATGGGACAGGTGAGCCCTGGAGAGAGTGTGTTGCAGTTTCACTGTGATCTGTCAGTGTGGGAAAGCAATATATATATATATATATATATATATATATATATATATATATATATATATATATATATATATATATATATATATATAAAAATAAAATATATATATGTGTGTGTGTGTCTTCGTTCTTCCAGTTGCCTGGAGAAATACCATGGAAGACTGGACAGCCGAGGAGTGGAATGAAGATGTCAGTGTGAGTAAAAAGTTTGATTGTCTCTGTCTGTGTGTGTATTTATTTATTAGGGCTGCAGCGATACACTAATCTCACAATACACAATATTTCGCTCACAATACGATATTTAGCAAACGACACTCTTTGCTACGATTCAGTACATTTGTAAAATTTTCTGAAATACTGTAGTGGGACAGGGAGATTCTGGTGACATTTTGTGACTGTTCCATTGACTTGGCTTGAATCAATTGAACTAATGGTGTAATACTGCTGCAATAAATTTTGTTTTTGTTATACATCTGCTTTGTTTAAATGTTAATTGTGTGGCTTTCTATATTTGGTTTTGCAGAAAAGGAACATTTTTTTGTCTTATTCATTTATATTAGATAATGTAATTTATCTATTTCATTATTTAATTTATTGTAACTGGTTGTGACATTGCATGTCATTTTAAAGGTACAAAATGTCATGTGTGATAGCTGTCATTTAATTTGTGTTGATTTGACATAAAACTCAAAGTAGGATTTTATGTATTGATTATATATATATATATATATATATATATATATATATATATATATATATATATATATATATATATATATATATATATATATATATATATATAAAATACACACTGTGTGTTTCTGTGTCCATACAGCTTTCAGAGACCAAGGTTTTCACCTCCTCAAGTGCACCTGATGTTGAGAACCATATCACCCCTGGGCAAAGGTTAGTCTAGCAAAATTAGTCCCACCTCTGGAACATCTGTGATGCCACGATTTCAAATTGAAGCCTTTTTTAACACATGAAAATCTGAAAAATGTTGCACATTTTAATTCAGTTCCCTTCACTCTAATACTCCACCCAAAAAAATCAAGTGCAACTTCTGACCTGTTGAGACTCTGGGAATTATTGGACTGAAGTGGAGGCTCAGCTTCTAGCAGGGAAACAAATACAGACACGTAGCAAGAGCTATAATGTGACGTATTTGAAAAATGTTTCTTTTTTGAGCAGTCCTAATACCTCTTAGAGATTGGATCTATGTAGTGGAAAAATATATGTATTTACAAAAACTTGTGCGTGTGTGTGTGTTAGTCTGGACCTGGCTTCTCTGCTGCAAAAGCCTGGAGTAGGAGGAAGAGAGCCACCTTCCTCTTCTTCCACACCGAGTCTGGTGTTCACCAACTCCCACCACCATCAGCAACCGCCACCCAGCCGCAGCACGACCAGCAGCACGAGCTACGCCCACGCTGCGCTGGTAAAACTGAAAATAAAAAAGAACACTGCGTTCTTATTCGTGTTTTCCTTTTGTTTGTTGTTCACAGTCATTATGAAACCAAAAATAATCATTCAGAACTTCACTGTTGTTGTTTTTTTCACTAGTCTTCGGTTCTGGGGGCTGGTTTTGGGGACTTGGGCCAAGCCAAGAAGCCTCAGCCGAGTCCTGGTGCTCAGATCCTGGAACAGCTCAAGGGTCCCGGTTTGGGCCAGCTGCCCTCATCCCAGGCTGCCCCTCCTGTCAGCACCCAAGGAAGCAACACCTCCACAGGTCGACTGCCGGGTCTGGGAGCCCCGGTACCGCCGCCATCATCCTCGAGCTGGGACATGAAAGCTTCAGAGTCCAACAGCACATCCTTGTCCTCGCAGTTCAGTCGTAAGTGGTCGAGATGTTTTCGTGGCGTATACATCTACCGATGCTGCGCGAGAGGTGGCGTACGCCCCGGACAGTTTCGCAGTCTGTGTGTAAACTATGGCTGCAACTAATGATTTTTTGTCGATTAATCAGTTAATCTGAAAACGATTATTTTAATTATTCCTTATTCTGACAAGTAATCGATTAATCGGATTATTTTAGTTACAGACTATTCAGACAGTCAATCTAACGATTAATCGATGAGATTGTTGCAACATTCTGCGGATTTTCCATTTAAGCCTTTGATATAAAATGTCAGAAATATATTTAGAGATGCATATAATACTTTAAGTTCTTTTTTTAAAATAAGAACAATAAATTTTATTGCCTAAAATATATATCTATATATATCTATCTATATATAAATATAAAGCGATAATGCATATATTTATTGTCCTGAATGTGTTGTTATTCCAGCTTTTGGCCTTTTTTTTAATCTGTATTCTCCAGTTAACAATTAAACAATCGTCAAAGTCATTAACGATTAATTAAATAATCGATTAATCACAAATGATTGTTTCAGTCCTAAAGTAAATATGCCTTTTGTTGTTCCTTCTTCCCTGCTTTTGTTTGCAGGTGAATTTGGGCTGCAGCCGGAGCCTTCTCTTGTTCTGAGCCAGCTGGTTCAGAGGCACAGTGGGCCCTCCCTGCCTCTGGCGCGCCAGTCCAGTCCACCCATGCAGCAGCAAGCAGCCCCTGCTTCAGCCTCGCCTGCTCCCCAACACATCAGCACGCCAGCACAGGTCGGCCCGGTGACGGCTGCTGCTGGCACTAAGCCTGGCGCTCCCAGTCCGGGGCTGGACTCCCACGGGAGCAGCACGCCGCAGCAACAGCGGGGGCAACTCAAAGGCCCGAAACGAAGGATACCTCCTACATCGAAGGTAGGAGTGACGGTGATGCACCGGGAGACAAAAGGGCCTGCAGTTAAAGCTCGAAGGAGGCGGTGACATGTATGAATGTGTTGGCTCCTTTCTGGCAGATCCCATCCACAGCAGTAGAAATGCCGGGCTCAGCTGATGTTCCAGGGTTAAACCTCCAGTTTGGAGCTCTGGACTTTGGTTCAGAGTCGGCACTGCCAGAGTTTGGGGTCGTGGACAACTGTGTGAGCGCAGTGTCCCGGGAGTCCACGCCGGCGCCCGCCCCAGCATCACCTGCATCAGGACCAGGGACCCAAAGCCACACAAGTCTGTACTCAAAACCTCTCAGGTACTGCTGCCTTCTGACTAAATGCATCTTTTTAAAATCATTTTTCAAAATAGTTCACATTTTGTACAAGAGGCGATCTTCGTTCTTGATGTTGATTAGGTGTATTACTGCTGAGATTGGCAAGTTGAAGAGTTGTGATGGTTATGATTATTTTAACAACTGATTATTCTGACTATTAAAGAAAAAAATTGGCACATTCTGCTAGTTTTTTAATGTAGCCACATAAGCCTTTTACACAATATCAGAAGTATTGGATGCAAATATACTGCCAGAGAAGCATTTACTGTTTTAATCAAGCATTTCTTTTCTCCCCTCCCCGTTTCTCAATCTTGCCATGTGTGTGTTTTTCAGTGAGTCGCTGGGCAGCTCTCTCTCAGTCGCCCTCCCTTCGCCCCTCTCGTCGTCGGAACCGGTGTATCACTCCTCCAGCGCGGCCATGCCCAGCCTCACGCCATCGTTGGGGACAAACAGCCCCGCTAACCCTCCGTCGTCCACCTCAGCGACCTCAACCACCTCATCTTCTGCACCTCCTACCTCCTCCCACTTCTCCTCAGTAGGGGGGAGTTACGAAGGCACAATGCCCCCTCACACACGGCTCGCTTTTTCCCAGAGCAAGGAGCCAACGGGGCCGGTGATGGTAAGCAGGCCAGCTTATCTTCCCTTTTTAAAGGATGCCGTCATTGTTCTTACCAATTAACTATCAACTAACCTAAAACTGCAATTTTTTTGTCAGAATGGTCTGAATGGTGTGAGAACTTCAGCTGCTCTAGACAGTGAGTTACTCACCACTGCTTTATTTTTAGCTGTTTGGGTAGAAGAGGTGCATTTATCAGTTAGCGGCACACAAGTTCTTTCTGTGTTTCTCAGCGTCATCGGCTTCTTCCACACCAAAGCCAGAGTCGCCGTCTGTGAACATCAACGCCAACGGTCCCTCAGCGTCCTCCCACCTAACCCCCACGCTGCCGCCTCACAGCTCCACCACGCTCTCCAGCCTGACACAGGACCTGGCGTCAGCCAACCAGCTGAACTCGCTCAACAGGTCGTTCAAGTCTCGCCTGAAGTGTCGTAACTTTAGAAGAGCTCTGCCAACTTTGTGTTTTTTGTTATAGACTTGTGGACGTTGCATAATCGCATCCTGAGTTCAACTTTTTTTTTTTTTTTTTTTACTCCCAACAGCCATGTCAGCAGCCATTCCTCGGTTTCAGCTCTGGGATCAAGTTCTCTCACTGTGAGTACCTGCTGGGGCTGCATCGACGCTAATATCAGCGCAAAATGACCCGTCAGGGTTCCGGCCCTGACGGGAATTAGATTTAGATATTTTCCAGATCTGGATCACGATGGAAGAAGACATTTGTGGAAGGAGGAAAGGGGGAAAAAAAGTCTCTTCATTTTATATGTTTCATAGTCTGAAGGTCGTGTCCTTTCATCCAGTTATTGCTCCATTCCTCTGTCTGTGTTTCTGTTTCATTCCTCCAGTGAGCCTTTCGCAACTAATCACATAATAAAGTTCAAATGAGCTCAGCAATTTCCATTCTGATTATGAACATGTTTTGACAGGCATTTTGGTTCAGAGTGACATCATAATCCATTTTATTTATGGTTTTGCTTCTAAGTGGTTATTATTAATACTTCCGTTTTAATTATTGTTTTGGGTTGTCGTGTTTTCATTTTGGATATTTAAAACATCTTCCAGTTCCAGAGTTAAGTGCTCTGTACAAAATAAACGTTTATTGATCCTTGAGACGACACATTATTGTGATGGGCCTACCCTCCATCTTTCTATGTCTTCACATCTGTTTATCCATTAATCTGTTCGTTCCTAACGTCTATTTTTCCAGCTTCCCTCCATCTTTTCTTTAATCCATCAATCTCTTTCTAGTAATTCCACATTCCAAGCCAGACCACTCCTCTAAAGTCATTGGGAACTTTTTAATTTATACTTTAAAAACAAGCCAAACTGAATGAAGAAACATACATATAAAATCTCACAAAGCCGTGGAACACAACATGGATGACGTTCACACACAGGATGGATCACTTGCCTCACTTTAAATGTTCTCTGTGCTTTTTTTAATTTTTTTTTTATGTTGGACAGTATACGAGTGTGGACAGCAGCAACGTGAGCTCCCTCACTCCCTCGTCCAGCTCCTACACATCTTCGCAGCCCACAAACTCATCGCTCCACTCGGCCCACAACAGCAGCAACAGTAGCAGCATCAGCCACCTGGCCAACATGCCCAGCATGGGCAGCAACATGAGCAGCACGGTCGGCGGCATCACAGGCACCAGCGGGTTCCACTCGGCCGCCGCCATCGCCACCAGCACGGCGCTGGGACTCGGCTCCAACGGAGCCACAGCCGCGTCCAACCTCTCCGCACCGAGGACCACGGCGCTGCTCTCCTCCACCGGTAGACGGACGCCGCTGAAACGGCGGGAAATTTTGAGTCGCTTTCCAGCTGGACGCGTCATTTCTGTGTCTGTGTGTTGACAGGCAAAACTCCTCCCAACCTTTCCCAGGGAGTGCCTCCTCTACTACCAAACCAGTATATAATGGGACCAGGAGGCCTGCTGCCCGCTTACCCGGTAAGTGGATCATCAGAAGTCGGGCTGAAATGAACGGGTATCATTGATTAATCGTTAACTGGAGCGTACAGACCCAAAAAAGGCCAATTGCCTGGAGAGGAATGGAGTCAGAGAAGTAATTAAGTCACCACTGCGCAAAATATCACATTTTGTAGCAAAGAGAAAAGGCTTCATCTGTAAATATGTTCAACCTAAAACTCCACAAGAGGCATATTTTTAGCTTTACAAAGTTCATCTTTTGTATAAAAATCTCATGTTAAACACCTCTTGGTCAATCCAAACTTCCACAGAAGAGAAAAGAGGAGGATTATAAAAAATGAGAAGAGTGGGCCTGCATTTGGAAGTGTACTTCTAAAGTTTAAAGTTAAATGAAGAGTGCGTTCCTCACCTGGCGGCAAAAACAGGAAGCCATCAACTGCCAACAGCTTCCTGCTGAGGCAGGTGGTCAGATACTCTCGACTGAAGGGAAAACAGCTGCAGGAAGTCTTGGTGGGAAATGTTTCAGTTTCCCTGAAGGGCTCTTCTGAAGCGAAGGCCAAAACAGTTCACACCTACATAAACAAGCCAAAGCAGCTTTGAAATTCTGTTGCCTGTGGATTAGGAGGAATAAAACATAAAAGAGCCCCACGGCTGTAGTGAAGCATGGCGCTCTCTTGCTGATGCTCTGTCAGCTTCGCTTTGGAAACCTGAAGCTGGTGGATTAAATCAACAGCCAGGAAGTCTTGTGAAACTCTGAGGATATTATTGGAGGGCTGTGGCGAGAAGTTGGGCTCTGGGTAGTAAACATGTTTTCAGCAGGTTGTAAAAGCTAAAAGGCCTGGCAGTCACTGAAAGTGGCATTTTGGATTTAATTTGGAGACGCCGCCCTACATTCACCATATTAGCTCTGTTGAGCTACTCAAAAGGTGGCTTTTTTTTTTTTACAACCATTTGTTAGATTTTATATCATACAGGTAAAACAAATTAGATGTCTGGGTTCAATAATGTAGGTACAACCGGATATTTTCACATTGCATCAACAATGATGGTATAATTTCAGAAATGAACACACTCAATTTCAAACCATCGATCAAATTTTGCGCCGCAACCTCGAGTTTGATAGTGCTTACATAGAAATAATTCATATTTTCAGAAGTTTTGTCGTCCGTTTTGTAGGTCGTGGAACTGACAGTGTTTGTTTGTTTTTTTTTCTTTTCACAGCAGATTTACGGCTATGAAGACCTCCATATGCTCCAGTCTAGACTGCCAATGGTAAGACACGCATCTTAAAGTGACGGTTTGCGATTGGAGACAGAACATATGATGTTGACTGTTATAAAAACTCAGTGTGTACAATCAGAGGTCCATTTTAGTGTGTTTTCCAGAATGGAAACTCATTTGACTTTAGCATAAGTTGTAAGATGTAACTGCTTGTAATAATTTAAGCGAACATCAATTAAACAATCCAGTGCTGGGCTTTTAAAGAAGCATGTGGTCAATAGTCAACTAATGTTTTTTTGACAGTTCCACAACTGTGTGTGTGTGTGTGTGTGTGTGTGTGTGTGTGTGTGTGTGTGTGTGTGTGTGTGTGTGTGTGTGTGTGTCCCCTGCTCCTTTAGCCCTCTCTGCAGGATTACTATGGAATCACATTCCCTGGACCCACAGCAGCTCTCTCTGGCAGAGACGGGAGTCTAACCAACAACCCCTATTCAGGTGAAGCTCCTCCTGGTTCTCTTGTTTGATTTCTTCCATAATCGCTCAAACCGATTTTATGTCTGCTCACGTAAAATCTCTCCTCCCTCCCCCCGTGGTCAGGTGACATCACAAAGTTTCCCCGGAACGACTCCACCTCCCCAGCGCCCCCTACCAGCCTGGCAGCCCCCCAGCCTCCCCAGGCCCAAAGCCAAGGTCAGAGCCAGGCGCAGCCTCAGCCCCCCCAGGCGCAGCCCCCTGCCCAGCCACAGCACCACAGCAGCCAGCAGGCCTTTCTGCCGCCGGGCTACAGCTACACGGGCCTGCCGTACTACCCCGGCGTGCCCGGCGCCGTGCCCAGCGCCGCCGCCTTCCAGTACGGCCCCACCATGTTCGTCCCGCCCGGAGGCCCCGGGCCGGCCTCGGCGAAGCAGCACAGCATGAGCCTGGGCCTGGGCAACCCCTCGGCCAGCCCCTTTCAGCAGCAGGCGCAGCAGCAGCCCAGCGGTTACGGCCAGCACGCCTTCAGCTCAGGTTCGTGTCGCGTTTCACAGAGTTCCCCCGTCCTACAGGAAGAACTTTGAAGCCGGACCGTTTTTGTCATTCTCGACGCACGTCTTCGTCTACAGGTTATGAGGAGCTGACAGCAGGGCCAGCGGGAGTAGAGTACAGTAAAGGTTACAACTCCTCTTCACAGGCACAAGCCAAATCTGCTGCTGCAGGGCCTGGAAAAGGTAAGATGGAATGAAAAGCGATCACCTCCATTCAGTTCCTGAGATGCGAGTGCCTCTCCTGTGTTCACTCCAGGAGTCTCAGTGACATCCAGTAACTCCGGCGTGCCAGACATCAGTGGAAGTGTTTACAATAAGACCCAGGTCAGGCCGCATGAATCATCATCATTTTGCCGTCACCCAGTTTTTAAAAAAAAATTTTCCTAACCACCGCCTTCCTTTAATCCGTCCGCAGTCTTTCGATAAGCAGGCTTTCCATGCAGGGACCCCCCCTCCGTTCAGCTTGCCGTCGGCCCTCGGGGGTCCCGGACCGCTGAACCCCGGAGCAGCTCCTGGAGGCTATGCACCCCCCCCGTTCCTCCACATCCTGCCTCACCAGCAACCACACTCACAACTGCTGCACCACCACCTCGCTCAGGACGGACAGGTGAGCTTTTGATGGGCGATTTTCCAATCATTAAGGTTTTACAAGCTTTCTGTAAAATCGACTAACCTCACTCCAGATGAAATATAGACCTTGTTTTGCTATTTATTTTGTCATTCTGTTGCAAATAATAATTGAATTCAGTTGTATTCTGCTCTCCCAGCGAGTTTTCAGGCCCACAAACCTCTGGTGATGTCACACAAGGCAATAATCAGGGTTGAGCTCAAAAATCAATATAGATCGACTGAATTTTTAGGTTTTGTAGACTTAACTTTTGGAAAATGTGGATTTTTTTTTTTTCCCACCAATGCACTACTTGTGTTTCTACAGTTCAGATTGGCCAGATAATGTTTTACACTGTGTGACGGTTACAAAAGCAGTGATGAAAAAGTTAAAAAATATACAAATCTCTAATGTTGTAGTAGAATTAGTAATAATATTAAAGTGGTTAATTTTCACACAGGAGTCGAGATGGCACAACTTCATGTTGACACATTATATCACAATACTGTATACATGCAGTGTAAAAACTGGTTGGAGTTTGTTTTTTTATTTTTCACCTTAAATATTCCACAAATTTTTAACATTCTATTCTATTTTCTGCAATTAGTTTTACTATAGTCATTAAAATGTCGCTTCTTTAATTTGAACATAAAACAACTAATTTTATATGGCAGGTATTAACAAATATAAGGGCATAATTTGTGAGGGGATAAAAAAGAAAAATACCAGAAGTTAAAGCAAAAAAAAAAAAAAAAAAAAAAAGGCTCCTTGGCCTGTAAAGATTCAACTTGATTGGGATTTGTGGAGAGGGAAAAAACAAATAAAATAAATCCTGGGTCGTTGGAAAAAGCACCAAACACACACACAGTAGAATCAGAAAATGTTCAAATACATTCAAACCACTTAAAGAAAAAAAAAAAAGAAGTATTTTTGCTGTCAAATTGATATAGATATTCCAGCGAAACAAACAGAAAAATGTCCTTTTAGGTTATTATTGTTTGGGTTAACGGTCAGACGTTTCGTTCCCAGGGCGGGCCGAGCCAGCGTGGTCAGTCCAGCAGCCTGCAGCAGAAGAGCCAAGTCAACAAGTCGAGCTACGGCAGCTCCCCTTACTGGGCCAACTGAGACGGTTGCTTCTGTAGAGAGAGAGTGTGTGTGTGTGTGTGCGTGTGTGTGTGTGTGCGGACATACACACACACACGGGTCGATGCCGCGCAATCGTAGAGGGACAGAAGCGTTTTTACAACACAAGCTAAAACACACACACACACACTACCATCCCCCCGTCCTCCCCCCCTTTGCTCTGTATATCCCCCTTTTCAAATTTATGGCTGTTGTATGTAAAATATATTTATGTATTTATACAGTATATATGTATTGGTAGGACATAAAATGTGGTTTTCTGCATTGTTTTTATTTTGAAGGACATTTTATTTCAAAAAAAAAAAAAGAGAAAAAAGAAAGTGGAACGATGAGAATGCTAAACCATGGAGATAAAGTTGGTGAATATACTTGAACACAAGCATCTTGTGATGTGATTTTTCTTTGTTTGCAACCATAAACTGAGAATGGTGTACATAGATTATACGCATCATTTTCAAAGCAAAAGGCCTTTTTTTATTATCATTATTATTATTATTATTATTTTGGGGAAACAAAAAAAACTATGTTTTTGTAACATTTGGTCGCCCGCATCTGTGAATCCTCATACTGAGGGCGACTTTTAATAGCTTGACTTCTCTTCTTTCTCCCAGTTTCTTTCCATTTGTCTCTCATTCCTGACTTCTCACTTGTTGGCTGGTTTGGTCGGCCAAGCCTTGGATTTGATGTCATTTTAATCCTTGTTGTCCAAATTAAAAGTTATTAACAGTTCTTTAGTGATCTGGCATTAATATTTACGAGCTTCGTTGAACTGGACCTTCACGCACACTGGGTTCAAATGGCGTTCGTGGAAAAACGGGGACATTTATTGCAAAAGACGTAAAATGACGCGACATCGCATCTTGGGTCCATTTTGTTTTAAGGCTTTCTCGAAAAGGCCTCAAAAACTGCAAGCGCAGCTGTTGTGGTGCGTTCAGGCGCTGGTGGAAGGCTCGTTCATCAGCGTTGTCATATTCGTGACTGCAATCGATTTCAACAGATTTTTGTTGTTGTTTGTTTTGTTTTTAAATAGTTCAAATAGTTACATAGATGTTATACTGCTTACTCAGCAGATTTCTTATCAAAACATCCTACCTGCGCACTAACACCGATAGTGCTCTGTCCATCCGTGCTGCGGTAGGAACGTCTGACGAGAAGCAGCTTTGCGCATGCGTGATTCAGTTCAGTTCAGATTTCTTTAATCAGCACGGTGAGCAAAACTACACGCGGGAAAACTGCGAAACTATTGTCTGACCTATGCATCGAATTATTTTCTTGGCTGTACCTTTATTTAAAGACAGTAATGCCAAACGTTAACGATGCTGTCGCGCACACAGGTATCAACCTTGAATTTCTGGGACTAGACAGAAAAAACTACATAAAAATGCACATCAGGGAAAACCAACTGTCCATAACAATGGAGGTCAGTATAAATCAGTCTTTCGTCTGGGAATCGGAAGCTCTTAAGATCGGTTTCAGTTTTTGTCCCTGAAGGTTGGGGTCTCTGTGCAGGTGAGCTTTTCTGAATCAGGTCACTGTGGGACTGACCACCTGTCCGAGTGGGAATTCTGGCTCGTTTTAGAGAACCGACTCTTTGGCTCGGATCACTAAGAAGAGTCGGCTCTTTCGGCTCTAAAACAACTCTTCAGATTTTTTTTTATTTTATTTTGTTCCTTAATTTATCCAACAGAGAAATGTTGCAAAATGAATGACTATATTCAACATCCCGTCTGCTGGGTCAGCGTAAAGCGAAAGGTGCATTTGGAGTTTGAAAGTAACATATTTGTTTATTTGATTTTGATTTGCCTACATATAAACACTGAACGTTCCTATTCAGAGATGGCGATGTAGTTCCTGCTTGCAACGAGAGCCCGAGACAGAAATCAGTTTCTCCCAGAGCTTTATCAGCCTGGCGGGCCTCCAGGCTTTATTTTCCTCCCACCAGGCTGTGGGTTATTTTAAATATAAGTGATCCTTATATTCTCAGTGACACTTTAACACACACGGGCTTTGACGTACATTTTATTACAAAAATATCACAAAAATTCAAGGCATCTTGACAAAGCGCAACTTGGAGGGATTTTCAAACCAGATTCTCTGAAAAGTTGCTCATAACGGCACAGATCAGGGAATTCCTGGACACAATACTGGTAGTTCATTTGCTGGCAATTAATCAGAAATCAGACAACTTTCTGGAAACAAAACTACAAAAGCTACTGATTCTGTTACGTCGTCGTACAGAGTAAACCGGTGAAAGCTTTACGTGTCGGGCATGTGCTTTACTGGAAATGTTTGGATGAGTGCTGTTGGATTACATGGCATCGGGATATTCCACATAGCTCAAGTTCAAAATCCTAAGAGTCGCACAACCTCACAAATCAGCAGGTATATCTTGGTTCTTAAGGCTGGGGCGCCAAATGTTTCCTCACTTTGATACAAAATATATTTACACATGGAATTATGACATTCATAAGCATTTTTTCTCCATAAACTAACCTCGGTTAAGTACAAAATAAAACTGTACACAACAATAGAAAGTCTTTGTCACTAATCCGCCTCTTTCTTCTTCTTCTTTTTCTTCTTCTCTGTCATTACTGCTTCTGGAAGTTCTTCAGTTTCCTCCGCCGCCAACGTTTCGCTCTTTCGTTTCTTTTTCTTGACTGCAGTCTCCACGGCCTCAGCCTCTTCGGCTTGTCTTTTCTTTTTCTTCTTTGCTACAGGCGTGTCAATGTCTCCATTCTCCTCCTTAAAAGGAAAGAAAATGCAAAGTTTTAGTGATTGTGAAAATGCACTTTTCGTTCTGATGTTACTCTATTTTCTGTTCTGATTAATTGCAATTGTTTGACTCTCTTCAGTGATCGAGCCCATTAATGAGGACCAGCCAATGGTTCGGAGTCACAACTTGATGTTGCATGTCGTACACTGAGAACGGACCACAAACGCGGGTCGAGTCTCAAATCGAAACATGCAGCAAGGGAGAGAGAAGGCTAAAAACGGCTCACCTCAGCTTCGCCGTTCGTTTCCCCGTTTTCTCCGACTTCCTGCAGCTTCTTTTCACGCTTCTTCCGTTTCTTTTCCTTCTTCTCCAGTTTCCGCTTGATTTCAGCCGCTACGTCGGTGGCCTGAGGAGGGGGAGGAACAGGAACTGTTCAAATCAGCAACGCCGCTTCGGCTCGTCTCCGAATGCGTTTGAAACGCTGCATCAGGCTCATTAAATCAGTTTTCGCCCTCACCGTGATGTCAGGGGAACAATTGATCATCATTTACAGCATCGTTTAGATGTGAAGGCAGCTTCAAAATCAAAGCTACGCTAGTCTCCAAGGATTTATAAACTTGGTGAGATTTATAAACTTGGTGAGATTTATAAACTTGGTGAGAAGGAGGTGGGTTCTCACCAAACCCACCTCCTTCACAGGAGGAAACCCACCTCCTTCACAGGAGGAAACCCACCTCCTTCACAGCCTCCTTCATGACGTCCACGTTTTTCCGCGGAACCTCTCCGGTCTCGTAGAAGGACAGACGTTCCTCCACCTGCTCGCGCAGTTTGTCTCCAAACACGCTGGTCGGGAGCTCTGGGAGGCAGCAAGAGAAACAGTCAGCGCAGGGAGAGAAGCAGGTCCAACTTTCTGCAGAGCGCACGCAGCCCAGCTCAGAAAGTCACATCTCAACATCAACCTGACGGATGAATGCTGTTGACGAAAAATGAAAGCATCATTGCGGTCGCCGCTGCGTTGACGGCAGGGCGGCGCGGCGCAGTCGCTCACCGGAGAAGCAGTCGATGCGCGAAGCGATGGTGCATTTGTTGGCCAGGTATCTGGAGATGCGGCCTTTGTTCTTGGCAGCGGCGCGGCCGATGAAGGTGGAGTGGAAGATGAGGCCGTATTTGGGCGTGTTGCCTCGTGTCTTCAGAGCTCTGTGGGAAGACGCAGGCGCTTTTTGACACGACTGGCAGAAACCATGTGAGCTGCTTACTGGAAAATATGCAATATGAGAAAGAAAGAAAAAAACTCTGGTATTGCTATTAGGAGCTCTCTGGAGTTTAACCCTTTCAATGTTCTGCCTACTCAGAGCAGAGATCACTTTAGAGCTAAAATGAAAAAGCTTCTCAGCAGCTGAGCAACGCCCTCTTGTGGACAGTCAACACATTATAAAATAATAACCTCTCAAAGGTTTTATAACGGCTCCAAAAAGTTTTATCAACCGGTCCTTATTAATGATCAGCAATTGGACAAATCTGCCATAACATTCAGGTAAAATTAGACTTCCAGAACTTCCTGTGCAATTAATTTATATTAATTGGTTTGATTTTAACATTTTAAATGTCTAAAAATATGATAAAGTAAAACATGAATCTTTTGACTCAGCCAAGTGTTCGTCTTTGAATAGTTAACTGTGACGAGATGAGACCTTTAAACTGCATTTAAAGAGTAGAAGCTACAAAATGACATTTTCTGTGAGCATCTGTTTTTTATAACGCTCTTTACAGCAGAAGCAACTATCTTCTTCAGAGCTGGTCGGGGTTCTACCTCGGCGCTGCGGTGGCTGCTCAGACTGCGGGGCTGCGTTAGAGGGAGCGGGATCACTCCGGGGGGGACGAGCTCCTCCGGTCACCCTGCTCTGCTGCAGCCCCACCCTGCCATCACCGCAGCCACGTCTTCCCCCAGCAGGGAGGGGGCGCCCCAGTACCTGAACAGGGCCTTCTCCGCTCCCAGGATCTGAACGGTGGAGGCCGGGTACTTGGCCAGGTTGGTTAAACTCCCGGCGTGGGAGATCAGCCGGGCTCCAACCTAGAGAAAACAGAAAGGCGAGAAGATTTTGACTTTGCTGAAAAGCTAAAAGTTTGAGAGTGAAGTCAAGCTCTGCTTTTATTTTTAGGACCATCAGCACCAGATTTATTTCTAATCATACAGATTCAGGGGATTGACAGATTTTGGTAGAACATCATCGGTCCCAACGCGCCACTGGGGGCGGATTTCGTCTCGTGCTCACCACTTCTCCGATCAGGGCGGCCAGGTTAGGCGCCACCTGGCTCATCTTAGAGCGGAGGTACTCCTGCAGCTCCAGCCTGTAGGCGGCCAGGGACACCACGCGGTTTGAGAACCTCTCGATGTTGATCAGGTCGATGGGTGAAATGTCCATACCTGAGGAGGATGAGGGAAGGCGGTCAGGAGATGGGAAGAGGAAAAACGACGTTTTCAGCAGTAATACCGTCTTTACGCTGAGGTTGTTTCTCCCGACAGGATCCGCAGTGAGGACTGGAGCCTTCACTACAGGTTTATGAGAGACTCTCTCTGCCCCCCTGTGTTCGGCACCAAGGACGACTGGGGGTCCAAGGTGGGCAAAAAAGGGGCTTGATAACTTGAACACGTTTTGTCCCGTCTACTCGAATCTTACACACCATACTAAAAATAAAAAAGGTAAACATTTTTTAACCTTTTTCGAAACTGAAAGGTGCGGCATGCACATTTACTCAGACCCCACACTCAATACTAGAAGCTGAGCTTTCAGCTCATCCTCATAAGGTTGTGTCTCCAGTCTTGGCTCTGGGCTGACAATTATTGAAACAATCATCTGTCTGGAAATGAGAGTAAATTCCTCAAGTTGTGGAGTTTAATCTTTACTTATTTCAAATTCTTAAACAAACAAAAGAAAAAAACTGATTACCTGGTACTTCGTTACCAGAAGGTAACTAAAATCCCTCAGATACTAATTTTATTTATGCATTTCCATTT